GGTATCCCCCCGGGCATCCTGCCCTGGACCCCCAGCCCGGAGGGGTCCCTGCTAGCCCCCAGTGTAGGGGGCTGATGGGTCCATAGCCTGATAGACCCCTTCCTGGGGTTGTCTGGGGGAGCCCCCAACTATACAAAGGTCCCTGATACCCCCGAGGGGCAGGTTAATAGCTCTCAGGGGTGTCTCTAATAGCCCGCAGCCCTTCGGGGGGCTGGTAGCCCCCAGCCCAGCCAGGCCATAGTGGAGGAGTGGGTTGGAGGGAGCTCCCTCCGCTGTGTCCCTGTGACCCCAAAGCCAGGCCTGCCAGGGTGAGCACACCTCCCTCGGGCACCAGCTGCCCCCCAGGATGCCCCCAGCACCTTGCTGGGGTCCAGGGGTGTCCCCTGGGTGGGTGCTGGGAGCAGCGCTCATGGGGTGGCTGCGCTGGGGGGTCCGAGAGGCTGTACCTTGAGTGGGGAGGTTGTGGGGGAGGTTGAGCTCCTCGCAGCCCTGAAGGAACAGGATACCAACCTAAATTCAGCCCTAAATTATTTGATGAGTTTCAGAGGAATTGCTTCACCCTCCCCTGAAATGCGGCAGCTGTTCGCCGCTGCCCGGCCAGCAGCGCTCATGGGGTGGCTGCGCTGGGGGGTCCGAGAGGCTGTACCTTGAGTGGGGAGGTTGTGGGGGAGGTTGAGCTCCTCGCAGCCCTGAAGGAACAGGATACCAACCTAAATTCAGCCCTAAATTATTTGATGAGTTTCAGAGGAATTGCTTCACCCTCCCCTGAAATGCGGCAGCTGTTCGCCGCTGCCCGGCATTTTGGGGCAGGAGGCAAAGGAGTGGTCCTGCGAGCGTGGTGACAAGGGGACTGGGTGGAGGGAGGATGCAGTGGTCCGCACTGGAATTTGGCTGGGGCAGTGACAGTAACATCCTGTAGCCCCTCTGAAAATGCTGCATCCTTTGTAGGTGATGGTTTATGGACTGGAGAGATGCTTTGAGCAACATCATTGCTTTTTGAGGGCTATTTTTCTGGTCCACGCAGGTGAAGTCCTTAGCAGGGACTCCAAAACCTCCTCCTGCAATGCATGTGTGTATGTGGGTGGGTGAGTGGGACAACTTCTTTCCCCATCTCAGAAGTCTTCTATGCGACTCTCGACCCAACACAACCTTCCTAAGCTGGAGTCAAGCTGCAAGTGGAATGGCCCCTGTCCATCACACCCACACAGCTGGATGGAGTCTGCTCCATACCTTCACCGCTCTCCTAGCAGAACTGTTTAACCCCTCCCATCTCATTATAGTAATATGTTTATTATATCACCCTCGAATTTCCTGCCCTTAACAACCCCAGAAGGCTGGGAGGGAATGAAGTGTTTTTGGAAAGTATTTTAATGTTACTTCAAGAGGGCAGGAGGCGGTCGGAAAATAGATGGGTGCAGGAACCCTGGGCTGATGGGGCTCTCTGCAGGACAGCTGAGGAAAAGGACCTCACCTAGCGAGAGGTGCGTGTTTGCCTTTCCTACCTGAGGCTGCAGCCTGGGACTAGTTGCCTATTGCTTCACTCCCTTGCCTGGAAAATTCAATAGGGCTGCTGCTTACTGCCTGCTTATTTGCTAGATTTACTGAACTCCTTGCCCTCCTGAAGGGCTTGAAAAGCAGCCTGGGTGCTGTAAAAAGACTCAGTCCATCTCTTCATTTCAGCATGGACTGCAGGGACCTTGCTTAGCGTGAAGCTGAAACCCCCCCAGACCTAGGTCCCTGCAGCTGGGCTGGTGTTTCTAGAGGCTTCTGCTCTCTTGACAGCAGCTAGCAGAGGCAGGTGCTCCAGGTGCAGCATGACAGCCTGGGCTGTTTTGCACGCTCAGGATGGACCGTGCACGCTCAGTCCTCCTGTACGTGCATTTTAAAAGGCTTTTTGACTCCTAGTGCTCCAAGGTTGCCTTCGAGGAAGCAGCCTGGAAGGACAGAGGGTGTGGTGACAAGTCTGTACAAAACTGGGTGTTTCAACTCAAAGCTCCCAGGTAGCAGAGGGGAAGGGATGCGTGGAGTGAAGCTGTGGTGTCAGCCAGGGGGGTTTTTCTGAGCTCGCTCTTTTTTCTCTCTGTAGGTGTTAATCTCGGTGCGGCCACACTGACCATGCTCAGGAGCTTTTGTCTCCAGCTTATGTCCTTGGTTTGGATCCTTTTGGCCCATCACCACCTTGCCCAAGGTGAGTCTCTGCGGACACGGGTCCTTCTCTCTTACATCCATCTTTCCAAACCTGTCCTTGGCATTGCTCAAGTCTCCTCAGTTCTCCATGTAAAACAGAACTGACCTGACCTGGAAGTCCAGAAAATGCTGCTTAGCATTGGATGATGGCTGGTGGCAGCAGCAGAGACCCTTGCTCTGTTGCCCACGGGGGTGGCTGTGTCTGAGCAGACCAGCAGTGAGAGGTCCCACTGCTCTGTCTCTCTCTGTCACGGTGAATGGGTCAGAGAGGCAGGGTGAGGGAAGAAAGAGAGCCCCTAACTGAACAGCTAATCCTGGATCCTGTGAGACAAAATCCCTTCCTAAAGATTAGTTTGCTCTCCCTCTGCTCCTGATAAGCAAAGAATTCCCAAAGCCATCTGCCAGGAGAGATGGTTACAAATAGGAAAACACGACGATACCCAGGCTCAGGCTGAGCAGTCCTAGGACGCTGCTCCAGCTCCACGGTGGCTTGTTTTTGGAGGCTCTTATCCCGAGCAGTGGGACCTGCTGCCTCACTGCAGCAAAAACACAAAAATGCAGAAACTCCCAGCTCCCTGACATGTTTTAGCTCTACTGCCCATGGAGCTGGAGCGAGGCGGCTCCCGTGCAGCTAAGGTGCAAGGGAAGGGGGAGAGGGGAAGGTGGAGATGAAACAGGACACCCAGCTGGAGAAAGCAGGCCAGTGCCGAGCGGAGGATGAGAAGTGGCATCGTGAGGCTGTGGCTCAGTTACAGCTTCTGTGGCTTTTAAATAAATAAACAGAACTAGACACCTGTCCCCACGCGCTGCCCGGTCCTGCCTCCCCACGCAAGAGGGGGAGCGCTGCTGGCGGAGGGACCAGACCGCCCTGTGCCAGTAGCTGTCCCTGGGGATGGGGACATACATCCTGGGAGATAAAGAGGAGCCGTTCTTTCCATTTCTGTCCTTGGTCCCTTAGTGCCCTCGCAGTGCCTGACCCTGAGCTTTCCCACCACACTTGCCGTACGGCTGTGGGACCGAGGTCCCTATCACACCATTTGCCTGAATGCACAGGGAACCCCAGCTCTTGCCCAGGGGGGCTTGACATCTAAGGGAGGCAGCAGAGAAGGGAAGATGATCAGAGAGTGGGTAGTTTTGAAGCAGGGTCCCACTTCTCAATAAAGGCAGTGTTGTCACTGCTTAGGTGATGGCAAAATCCTCATCTCCTCGTGTGGTACCCAGCCGTCGAAAGGATGGTCCCTCACCTTACAGTTCTGGGGATGTGCAGGCTGAGTGCTTAGGAAGGAAAAAAAAAAAAAGCTGTGAGCCAGCAGGGCTGCTGGCAGATCTGGAGTAATCTACAGTCTCTGCTTAACCCAGCTCTCCCCCTCGTAGGTGATGACTGCAGCGAGCGCTGTAATCTCGCCCACGGCTGCTGTGACCAGGATGGGAAGTGCAGGTACGGCTTGTCCTTGGCTCTCTGCTCCTGCTGCCTCTGATCGTAATTGCTCTCCCTCCCTTGATGCTGCGCCCCTGGTGCTTACACCCCTGCCCTTAGCTGAGGCACCTGGAACTGAGGAATCTTTTTGCCCGATGCCCTCTGGAGTGGGAGATTTTGACCCCTCAGCCCCTTGCTGGTCCCCTCCAGCCCTTGCTCCTGTGCCCCCAGGGTGCTCCCCACTACGCACGGACCAACGTCTCTGTTTTGCTGAGCCCTTTTTGTCTAGACAGCCTGGTCGTGTCTCGGTGATGGGAGGGAGCCTTCAGGCTCAGATATGATGGGGAAAGCCATCAGTCAGCGCAGCAGGCTCGGGTGGCAGCCAGCTTGCTTGGCCTCCTTGCTGTTTGGGATGGGGACGCTCTCCTTGGGGACATGGAAGAGAAGAGCTGCCAACATGCACGGCAATGTCTGAGGGCGCCAGGGGTCATCTCTCAGCAGCCCGGGCTGCGGTGGGGACCTCTGGGTGTTTTCATAAAGGGCTCGCCAGCGAGCTGGGGTCACCTCTGTCCCACTGCAGAGGTGTGTGTGTGATCCCTGGCATCCCAGCTCCAGCTGGTGCCCAGATCCCACAGGGGCAAAGCCTCAGAGCCTGACTCTGCATTTCAGCCTGAGACGCAGCCGCCTGGCTGCCCTGGGCTGCTGCCACAGCCCCTGACGCTGTCTCTCATCCCACCCTGGGGCCACCGAGAGCCCCCATCGTGCCGGGCAGCCCTGGGAGGAGCAGGCTGCTGTGGGCTGGCACTGGCACCTGTGCTACAGTGGGACAGAGTGCCCACCGCTGCCCGTCCCCCTCGCTGGGGCATGCTCAGCTGTGGGTCTTTCTGGTGGAGGCACGCATGAGTTGCTGCTCCAGATGTCAGGCTCCCAGAGTGTTTGCTGAACCATTCGGCAGCTTGGCGGTACCCCACTGAAATCACCCCCGACTCAGGGAGACCTGCCTGCCTACCTGGCCCTCTCCCTGGCAATTTTTACGTTGGCCATCTCCCTTTTGACGGTGCCGCTCCCTTGCTGCAGCCTGGGGGTAGGGGTGCCCACAGCCCTCTGTCAGCTCCTGGCTCTCCAGGTATTTCCCCAGACTCTATCAGACACATGGTATCACTTCCATTCCCATCAAAAAGCCTCTAACAAACATTTTTTTTTTTTTTTTACCATTTTCCTCATCTCTTTGGAGCAATCTGCAGTGGTGATAGCCAGGCCTGAGGGAAGACTCAGATTGCCACTGTCTCTCTGTCTGCTTGCTTCCCTGGAAAGATGAGCTGCCAGCATGACCTCCTCTGGAGGAGGGAGCCAGCAGGTCCACGGGGGGCTTTGGGAGGGTTTCCCAGCGCCACCCTATCTGTGGGAACCCTGTGAGGCAAGCAGTGAGCTTTTCCACAGCCCTGCATGGGTTTTATCATGCTGCCATGCCCTGTCCTCCCGCAGGTGCGATCCAGGCTGGGAGGGCGAGTTCTGCGAGGAGTGCGTGCGTATGCCCGGGTGTCTCCACGGGACGTGCCACCAGCCGTGGCAGTGCATCTGTCACAGTGGCTGGGCCGGCAAGTTCTGTGACAAAGGTGAGTTGTGGGCTGGACATCCCAGGCTCCAGCGCTGAGAGCAGAAGCCCAGCACACCCTGCATGGATGGGTGAGCCGGCAGAGCCAGAAGCAACCTGGATGATGCCACTTGGGCTGTCCAAGAGATGGGGTGTTGCCTGGCTGCCGCAGCTGGGACCGTCCCCTTCCTGCAGAAGA